GCTCAGAGAGGCCATGCTTCCCTCTCCCGGGTAGACGCGTGATGAAGCTCCGACCCAGGATAGATGTAGGCTAGAATATTCCCGGTAAGTGAACCTTGGGGTGTTACACACATTATTAGAAATGGGCTAGTCCAGATGTGAGAGTTAGCCAAGAAGAGGCTAGATATAGTGGGCCAAGCAGTGTTTAAAAGAATACAGTTTGTGTGTTGTTATTTCGAATAAAGCTAGCCGGTGGCGGGAGCTGGGTGGCGTAACACAGTCCGTAGCTCCTACTACACTAGCCTGTCAGAGAGAAGGCAGAGAACATCTCCAACTGAGTAGAATTTGCTCCCCAGAAATTTAATGGTAGATTTTAGAACCTGCTGTAGTCTGTGATCAACTCAGACATAAGAAATTAATTTTTGTAAGTCTATTAAACATATGCATATGGGTGTTTTGCCTGTAAGTCTGTGTGCTATGTGCTTATCTGGTATCTGTGCAGGTCAGAAGAGGGCATTGACTCCACTAAAAATAATTACACATGGGTATAAGCTGGTGTGTGGAATCAAACTCAGGTCCTCTGGCAGAACAACCAGTGCTCTAAATCACCGAGGCACCTCCCCAACTGTTTATCTCCTATAAGAAAGCCTTTTACATAGTTCAAACAGGCATGGAACAGGCTATATATAGATGAATATGAATTTAAATTTCTGATCCTCATGCTTCTATCTCGGAACTGCACATGTGTACCACAATGTCCTGTTTTGTTTGTTTACTGGAAATAGAGTGGTCTTTGTGCATGCTAAGCAAGCAAGTGATGTGGGAGTGATTTCTTATTAATAAAGAAACTGCCTAGGCCCCTTGATAGGCCAACCCTTAGGTGGGTGGAGTAAATAGAACAGAATGCTGGGAGAAAGAAGCTTAGTCGAGAGAGTTGCCATGATTCTCCCACTCCAGACAGACGCAGGTTAAGATCTTCTCTGGTAAGCCACCTCGTGGGCTACACAGATTATTAGAAATGGGTTAGATCGATATGTAAGAGCTAGCCAATAAGAGGCTACAGATAATGAGCCAGGCAGTGTTTATAAGAATACAGTTTCCTTGTAATTATTTCGGGCATAAGCTAGCCATGTGGGCGGCCAGGTGCCGGGGACACAGCCTCGCCGCTCCTATCTCTACAAGCAAGTACTTCATCAACTGAGCTACACATACTTAGCTCGCACCCCCCTCCCGAAAAGCAGAAATGTTTAAGACCGTTCCTTGGAGTATCTTTAAAATACCTTTGAATGCTCTAAGCTTAAACATTTAGTGTTGTTAAGGTCTGCTGAGCATTTAAGCAGGGCTGGGGAGTGTCATTTTGTCTTGTTTTGCTGTTGTCGCTATAGGGCTTGCCAAGCCTGTATTTCTCTTGGGTCATTAGCACCATCAAAAGTCCCACAAGGTCACAGAACTCAGGCAATTGGGCTGTGGGGAAGGGAGACCATCATGGCAGCCACCATAGGAGGCCTGGTCAATCCTGTTATCAAGATCACTCAGCCACCAGTGGTCCAAAGGGATTTCTAGGTCAGAAGCAATTCCTTTGTGTTTGCTTTACAATAATAACGGCATTTCCTCAGCTCCCGAGAAAATATGTAATTTCTACACTGACCAGCTCCATCAAATATCATGTACAAGTACAAACTGGACTTAAACTGTATGTCTTTTCCCCCCTATTTCTAGTCTTGTTTTCGAAGCAATTCCTTTGAGATGTAGTACTCCCTGTAATGGTTAGAGTGTTTATTTTTGCTCTTGCAAAGAAAAAGCTAGGTCTAGCAGAGGAGCTAATTCTGATAGCTGACGGCTACAGGGAGAGCCCATTTTCTTCAGACATTGAGGCCTCTGGTGGGTGCCCATTCTCCAGTGAATGGCCACACACCCAGCCATACACAGGCAGGGGTAACTGGACTCAATGGCTAAAAGAGACGAGAGAGCATGAACTTTGCAGGGATGTGCTGGAGACATATGTGCATAGGAGGGTACAATCCCTCTTACTCTTTCATTCTGTCTTTCAGGAGTTGTGCTTCATTTGTCTTTGTCCAACATGGCTACAATCCCAGCAGCTATCAAGTCTGAAGTCCATATGAGACAGAGGGTGACAAGGGAGAATGAAAGGATGTACGCCTGCCAAGTCAGCCTCTACAAAAGTGCTTTTATAGAAATCACCCCAGAGACCTGCACTGATAACGCCTGGCCCAGAATGGTGCTACTTAATCCCATCCCCGCCCCACACTCCACCCCCCCCCCGGAGGAGAGGGAAACTGAGAAGCGCTGCTGTGTGTTCTCACCTGAGCACGCTGCTGCCCTGACCACAAATGGGTTAGTAAGGAAGAAACAGAACTGAGCATTTGTTAAATACCCACCTCACCACTTGGTCTTGGAGACTGCATACATCTGTGTGTTGCTCTAGACAGAACTTAATAAAGTTGTGAAGTAGAGGCAAAGTCCCTCCTGCCTCTCCTGCTCCCTCTTCCTCTGCCCCCAACTCTCTCTCTCTTTTCCTTCATTCGCTCCGCTTGCACACAGACCACCGTTCCCAATGGGCAGAGGCATGATACCAGAATTTGTTTTCTATCTAATTAACTCTGATGCATAATTTCATGTTTAGGGAGAGATATATGGCATAAGGAAAATATTCAGCTTGACTCATTTATCTTCAACGACAGTGCATTCAAAACCGGAAATGCGTTTTGAATCAAGCCGAACTGTGAAGATAGAAACAACTGTCACTTCCGACGTAGCTGCTCCACAAGTTTGTAAAAGCCCCTAAGAGTGTTTCATGAACTATGTGAAGCAAGATTCTTCTTCAAGCCATAGAGTTGACGCTACAGGGAACAGAGGGAAATACACGGTGTTTTGCACCACTCTAAGACCTTTATTTTTAAGTAAGCCATGGGGGGGGGTGTTTAAGCGTGCTATACATCTGCACAGACGATTAGAGATGCACGGGACGTGGGAATGCCTGCCAGCCATCCATTCCATCCTGTGTGTGAACACATAGTGCAACAGAATAGATTTAATCAAACATCAGTGATCCCCACCTCCCACCCCCTGTTTCAATGGCCGGCATCATGGGAAGACAGAGAGAGCAAAGGAAATACAGTGCAGTGGAATGTACCTGCCTTCTAGAGAAACAAATTCAAACTGGTGGGGAAGGCATTGTTATGGTGGTGATGATTTCTAGGCTTGGAAATGGTTAATATTCTAATTTAGAGAAGCCATTGCTATTTTAAAAAGCCAAATTCTCTGTGTGTCTGTCTCTCTGTTTCCAAGTGTATCTCTCTCTCTCTCTCTCTCTCTCTCTCTCTCTCTCTCTGTGTGTGTGTGTGTGTGTGTGTGTGTGTGTGTGTGTGTGTGTAACACATGAGTATATTGTATGATTTAGCTAATGGATTTTCCATTCCTAAGCAGTGCAGGTTAAACGTGACTTCGGTCACAGATATTAAGTTTCAGGGCAGTTTTTAACTTGCCCCTTGAGCAGATTTCTTATAAGATATCAGGGTTGAAAGATTTACTTATACATGCGCATTTGCAAAGTACATGGTATTCTGTATTGATCCTAGGTTACAGGAAGAAGCAAAGAAAAATGGAAGAGGGTGAAAAAAGGAAAATTACAGAAGAAAGGAGAGTCCTTCAATACCTCTTTGTTTCACTGCACTTGGTAATCTTTGACTGTGTGATTCAGTTCATTCTACTTATGAGATCAAATTTGAGTAACTCTGGTGTGTGTGTGTGTGTGTGTGTGTATGTGTGGCAAAAGAGAGAGAGAGATCGCTGAAAAAAAGCAAAATGTATGTGTGTTTAAATTAAACAGCAGCTGTATCATATACTCATTTCTAGCTCAGAAACAGTGGAAAAATTACACAAATCATGCCAAGCCATAGCTAATAATTCTTCAGTTTATAAAGCTTACAGTATCTGAGACTGGGTTCATGCTAAAAGGAGTCAGGAATTAACTTAATCCTTTAACACGATAACAGAATGTGCATTTATTTTTTGTCCTAAAATTTAAGCATTTCCTAAAATATTCAGTTTATCCCTCTAATACACAATCAAATCAACTTCATTGCTCTGTTTCACAAAGTCGATCATGCTTGTAGCCCAAGTCACCGTACGCATGACCTCACAGCCGTTAGAGAAGATTCTAGCTCTTTTAATTCCTCTCAGCCTACATGTAGCCTCTCAGGATCAGCCGTCAACAGCATTTATTCTCAGATCTCAGCTGCCTCTCACTGCTGCACCCATCTCTGGGATCCCACCCAAATGCTTGAGAACAGTAGGTGTATGAACACAGAGGACTTCTCTGAAGAGCACAGGGAAGGGCCACTCCTCACTTCTGTTCCCCATTTGTCTGGTTGAACCAAGATATTTAAGAGAGACCTAGTTCTCCAAATAATGATGCCTCTGCTTCCTCTGTCACATGGTTAGCTTCTAGCATTCACTGATAACACGTTAGGCAAGTCTCACTGAAAGGAGTCTGTGACTTGATGGCACTGTCAATTTCTTAGAGCCACATCTGTCTGCTGTTACCAAGACACCATGAGTGGCAAATACGGGACCTCAAACCACACTTCACTTTACTTCCATGTGTGCTGAGATATGTCTTATTTGTTTTGCTTAGGTTATGAGATATTATTATAAGATCTTGTTCCACAATTATCTTATCAATGTAAATATTTAGCTCCCCTGTCTCTATCTTTATCTATTCCAGCAACCTCTTTTCTCCCACTCCTAAATGTTTCATATTCAAGAGAGGATACAAGGGTGTGCCATAATGAGATTAAGTATAATCAATTAAGCTTCTTAATAGTTTTCCCAATACAAAATTTGCTACCAGTGCCAAATTTTAAGGCTGGAAAGCTGTGGTATTTTTAGAGGATCACTTACCAGGTTTAACCTGCTGTGCTTTCTATTGCTGCTGCAAAGGACAGGTGTAACATTTTGTTAAAAATCACGCTAACAATGTTGTGCCTTTGGGGAAGGGGCTGAAGAGGAGGGCTACATCTGGGATTCCATGGAGATTCTATTTAAAGTCAGGAGAGCTTTTTGGTAAGGGACTTCCTTACACTCCTCTGGTGGGGAGGTGCCCATCTCCTCAGGGTTCTCGCAGTTGCTCACAATGGCAACAGCACTGAAGGACCGCCTCCTGACATTGCTATCAGAGGTACAGGATCCTCGGGCAGGGGATGTTTTCTCCAAGTTGGTGAGCTGTTGATCTTTCCAGTCCAGTTGTTTGGCACTGCAAAAGGGGGCATAGACTTCCACACTTCCTTCAAACTGCAAGCAGTTCACTTTGTAGTACTTTCTCTTCACTTCCAATACATCATTAAACCTATGGCCCCAGAGAATTTCTCTGGGGACGTAGGAACTTCTAGACTGGTGGGATGTCCCAGTGGAATCCCCAGTATAGATAAAAGTCACTAAAATCTCGAAATTATCTTTGGCCACTGCCTTGCGATCAAGGGCATACAGAGGACTCTCGTGGTCAATTTCATGGACAATGGTAACTGGGGTTACCAGGATGATCTGGTCATTGACGAGTTTGAGATCTTTAAAGGTCATGGTCATCCGCCCTTCACTGTCTTCTGAGTATCGGAGAAGCTGGGCTCTCACTGTACCCTCTACCACATGGTTTGGTCGGAAATCACCTATGCGCCACATGAGGCAAAGCTTCCCGTCTCTCATACCAATGAGTGCAAAATAGCTGAAGCGGATGGTCTGGGCTCTCTTCCGGGCGGTGGCCATCTTTGCCAAGGCTGCTCCAATGATGAAGGTGTTTATGATGCAACTTAAGATGGACTGAAGGATGACCGTCAGCACGGCCACAGAGCATTCTTCTGTGACACACCGGGAACCGTACCCTATGGTGGTCTGGGTCTCAAGGGAGAATAGAAATGCTGCGGTGAATGAATGCACGTTGTCAACACAAGGCGTGACGTCTGGATCATTTAACAGGTCTCCATGATGAAAGGCTATGAGCCAAAATATGGAGCCAAATACCAACCAGGAGAGAATATAAGACAGAGAAAATATCACGAACATGTGACGCCACTTGGTATCCACAAGAGTGGTGAAAATGTCAACCATGTAGCTCCCCCATTCTCCAAAAATGTGTTTAAAGTACACGTTGCAACTGCCATCTTTGTGGAGCAGGCGCCTTCTTGCCCTTCTCTTCTCGGCTATAGCATGCTCTGGGGGATAGCCTGGATATTTGGAATCCACATTTACAATCCGGTAACTACTTCCGTAATAGCTCATTCTCTCTTTGTCCTTTAGCGCACCCAAGAGAGTTTTATATCAGTTCAAAGTTCCAGGTGGATTGCTAATTTTTGTGTTTTCTTTTTTCCTTAATTTTCAGTTACAATCTAAAATAAAATAGAGAACAAAAAAAATTAAACATCTTATTAGCCTTAGATTCCAATTTCCATCTTGACAGCAGTTTGACATATTGGGAGCAATTTTGTTCCATCTAAGGTAGCAAATACTTCATCTGAACCATGAAGACATCCAGTATTGATTCAACATTCTGGTATAGAAAGCAACTCAGTTATTATAGGAACAAAGTGTGCAATTAGAGAAAATCAGATTTTTTTTATGTATACAGTGTTCGAGTAAACACTATGATGACCCCAAATGGTACCTCACAACCCTTTCTCACCTGATGAGAGAACAATGGTTTTATACTAACACATTTTATTGCATGAAAGCAATCTATAATATACAGAGATGAAGTAAGATTCAGTTTCAAGATTTCCAATCACTAATGCCAGAGCAATGAAGAGTTTCTACCTTTACTTTGTAATGAAATGGCTGCTCCGGTTCCTGGAGAAGGCAGCCCCTCGCGGTGGCTTCTTCTCTGTCCCACTTGGGTTTTTCTTCTCGTCTACTTCCCAGAACAGAACAGAATGAATACTGACATCTACTTCTGATTAAATTCTTTTTCTCCTAGCTCCACCCTTAGCCTTGATTGGAAAAGAAAACGTTCTTAACCCCAGAGGAGTTCAAACCACTCCCAGGTGAGCTGTTGGGAAGGTGTAAAGTTGCCTCTGCTTTTGTCTCACAGCCTGTAACCATCCTTACAGCTCTCTGGTTTTGACACCAACTGCTCTTCTCTCTCCCTCAGAATAGAAGCAGAAAATTTGCCAAAGTTGTAAAGCTTATTTTGCTCTTAAAGGGAGCATACTACCATTCGACAGACCCCTCTCTTAGCTCTTGGGTGTTTTCACTGATGCTTGTGCGGCATTCCCTAGGCAAAACTAATTGTCAAGGAAAGTGTATACGTCTCATTTTGGGGGCATCCATGTCTAAAACCACCAAAGTCTGAAAGTAAACTTTAAAAATGTGATTATCCAAACAGTCTTCAGCTATTTCTGTGTAATAATAGCATCAGCACACTAATGGTTCAGTAGTTATTGGAATCTGTCTCTGACATGATCCACCTGTGCCAGACAGATGGAAGAAAAGGAGACTAGAGAGACATGGGCAAGAAGAGCCCACCATCCACTCAGTCACACGGAAACACAATATGACTGAATGCTACTCCCTAAAACTCAATTGGGAATTAATCACTATGGATCTACCTCACTCCTGACTGCAGAAGAGAAGAAAGAGTTAACATCTCTCTGGCCAGAAAGAATCATTTTCTCTCTCTCTCCAGGGAGCAGACCCATTTTTTACAAAGAACTCTTTGTCAAGGGGACCACTTACAAGGACAGACTGTGCTTATGGCCAAAATCCCTGTAAAGCATCATGGGCTTCTCTCTCTCTCTCTCTCTCTCTCTCTCTCTCTCTCTCTCTCTCTCTCTCTCTCTCTCTCTCTCTGCAACAGTCAATTCTTTAGGTTTGTCTAGAGTAGTTCTTCCTCTCAATGGGCAATCTTTGGTCTTATATATGGAAAGAATGGAAAGATATTTGAATAATTGCAAGATAATGACCTAGATTTACCAAACTGTTTCTAGGATTGCAGGACATAAAATATAAATATCTCTTCTATGTTTTACGGTGCAAACATTATCTGTAATATCTGTTGATTAAATACCAGAGGCACCTGTTTAATTAAATGTAAATGACCCTGAGACAGAAGCCACTACAGTTTTGCTCACTCTTTATACTGACCATAGCAGGCAGGAGTCTATGACAAATCTTACAAAAACAAACAAAAAAATGAGATAATTTCAAACCACAGTACAGATGTGGAGGTAAAATTGTATTTTTGCTAAATGCTTCCAACCAAGAAAGTTCCTGGAGGAGAACTACCCCAAATTAGGGGAGACTGAGAGCTAAACAACGAAATACACACACACAGATCAGAGATCGAGAGCTACTGTGTATGTGTCTGTTCTATTCAGCTGCCAAAAGGGGAAAGAGGGTTTTATTTGAAATGGCTTTCAGTTGGCATCCTATTTGGATTCCCGTGGTGCTAGGAGCTATTATAAACAAACCACTTTGAAACACCTTCCAAAACGGGACAATCGGTGGATTAATTTGCAATTAATACAAGTTATAAGCGAGCAAATTCGGGCATGTGGAAATTGTTGTACTGCTAATAATTTCAGGGTTTGCAGTTATGACTGAGAATTCTGACCCAAGTTCCCCGGGTCCCTGATCGGGTTGTGATGAGATTTGAATCCCTGGTTAAAGGGAATCTGTCTCCACCAAACAAACTGAATTAATAGAGCCAGGTTTAATCCGAACAAAGCACTCCTGAGTGATCTCAGGAGGGTACAGAGGGCATCACATGGCTAATATGGCTACCAAGTGTTAAGTAGCCCATAGGTGTGGTCTTGAGCAGCTCCAAGAAGGGGTTACTTTTGGTGGTTTTCTCAGGGGCAGAGTTTGAAGAGGGCCACTCCGGGGGAGATGCTGCTTGGGGTGCGGAGGGCTGGCTCTGGAATGGGCCTCTGAGCTGGAGATTCCAAACATTCCAGTCTTTTGGAGTATATATGGACTCCAGTTGGCCTTCCAGCTAAACAGGTTGGTCACTGCAACCATGCAGTTCGCTTCAATTTATACAGAGATAAGCATTCAAGTCCTGTGTAGCATCCCATTTTTCTTCCTTCCTTCTTTCCTTGCTTTCTTTCTTTTTTTTTTTTTTAATTTTGTTTTTCTAGATAGGGTTTCTCTGTAGCTTTGGAATGTGCCCTGGTAGTTGCTCTGTAGAGCAGACTGGCCTGGAACTCACAGAGATTCCCCCTGTCTATGCCTCCTAAATGGGATTAAAAGCACGTGCCACCACCGCCCAGCCCCATGCTTTCTTTATATACTCTTTGGTTCTCCAACCATGTCAGTGAGACATACTTTGAAACAAATATCTTCAATCTAAATGATAACTAATAGCCTAGTGTTTCCCTCACCTACGTGATCAATGAAGGGCTCATGAAGACCCTTTTGCCAAAAATATTTAAACAAAATAAACATATACTCATCTGGTAAGTGGGTTGTGTTAACTTGAGAACTTTTTCAATTGTTTGCTATGAGATATCAGAAAAATGTTCTTGTAGATTCATGGGAGTTCTGCATTTCATCGGATGAAAATCTAGCTTTTAAAACATCCATAATGTTGATCAGTGAGGATGGCTTAGGGAGTGAAGGTGCTTGCCACCAGGACTGACGACTTAACTAGATCCCAGGAATCCACACACTGGAAGGAGAGAAATGACTTCTGCAAGCTGTCCTCTGACCTCCACATACCACGTCACTCACACAAACACACAAATAAATGTAGTGAATAATTTGGAAATGCTTTGATATTTACATAGTCATTTCGCCACCACAAATTCCATCAAAAAAAAAAAAAGCATCTGAAGCACACTCCCAACTTCAAGATTTATCTCACACTTCACTCTCTACAAAGAAAACTAGAGCTGGTATAATTATGAAATTATGGAATATAAAAGTCAAAGGCAGATGTTGAATCAAGAGAAGCCCATTTTGCTAGATGATAATTAGCAAAGGCACTAGATGCACTTTGACTCCTTGGCTGTGGGGTAGTGCTTTCTATACACGGGTTAAACACAAATGGAAGCTTCACAATCTGGAGGATAAACCCTTCTGATCATCAGCGTTTATTAAAACCTCCAAACATTGTGACTGGAGAGATGAATCAGAGACAAGGATCCCTGGTTGATCTTTCTGAGGAGCCTGGCTCAAATGCCAGGAACACAGGCACCTCTCAACCTCTGTAACTCCAGTTCCAGGGGATTATGCCCCCGCCTGACTTCCACGTCTACCAGCTAGGCATATGGTGTACAGGCATATATGCAGGAAATACACTCACACACATGAAATAAAATAAATCCATCTACAGGTATTTAGAAAGCTACTAGTAGGTAGCTTATTTCATTTAGTGAAAATAGCTGAGGGGTAGGTGGGTGGGAAGAAGACAGAATTGGAGAAAGCATCCCTTTCTCAGAGAGCCATTTTTTTCTAATATCTTGCTAATTATATTAAGAGTAGACACTGAAAAATATTATAAAATCCACTTTTAAAATGACTGCTGGGCTCTGCTATCAGACCTCTCTTTTAATAATTTCTTTGCATGGATTCAAGCTGAGTGAACCTTTTACTAATTCAGTGCCTTTTGAAAGGGCCATAGACACAGCAGGGGGCATTTAAAAAAAACATGAACACCCTCCCATACTTGTTCTTGTTTTTTCATGCATAAAACTGAAACAATTTATCTTCCATTCAGCTGCATCCTCCCGTATTTAACTGTTTACCAAGTGAACCACCCTTGCAACTAGGTCTTCAAAGATGAGCTTTCTCCCAGCAGGTTAAGAGTACAGCACAATGACCAAGATTTTGCATCCTCATTTCTCATCGATGTTAAAATGCAATCTTGCCTCTACCGCCTACTTAGCATAAACACATTCATTATTGCTCTTGCGTAATTCAGTAGGCACCACAAAAAAAAATGAGCTAAAATATTTTCGGTGAAATCCAATTATTGAAGCCAGTGGCTTTGGAGGTTAACAAGTTCTTTTTTTTTTTTTTTTTTTTTTTTTTCCCACATAAAGGATCTGAGGCAGTTGACACTTAAGTCATCAGTAGTCAAATTACTCTCCTGGCAGCTATTAAATGAGATAAGTTTTGATGGAAATCTGAGAGCTACTAGGGCAAAGAGGAGAAAGGATGGCTTCATTCCTCTCAAAAGTCATTGCTTTGAAAATAGCCTCTTTTGTGGAGAAAAGGGGGTGGTGAATTAGAGATGTGGTGGGGGCAGTTGTAGGGAGGGTGGGCTGAGCTCTGGTTGGTGGAAGGAGAGAGAGGAATGATGAACTAGACCCCAGAATAAATGAGGTCCTTTGCATTTTCTACAAAACCTGTTCTTCCACTCCTTGCTTTGGAAGGGTGCTTCCCCTTTATC